TATATATATATATATATATATATATATATATATATATATATATATATATATATATATATATATATATATATATATATATATACATGCGTCTTCGTTGGTGGTCCTCATTTGGGTCGTTTTATTGTAACTGCACTTAAAAAGACTTTTTTCCTCTGTATCTTCCTTCCTTTCAGTGGATGACATTTTTTTTTCCTTCTATGCTAGAACACTTTTCATTAGTTTACCCTAACGACAGTGCAGAAGAATAATTTTCGTAAATGATGATGATGATGATGTGGAACGGGCATTTCCTCATACAATCAATGAGTGGTCTACGATAAAGGTTTCTGGTGGAGTATAAGCCAGTCCACGGATAGGCTTGGGCTTATAGTGAAAGTCAAGCTGGATAATGATTTCAAGTTTCCTTTTTTTTCCAAGCTGTAAGAAATGAAGATATATAAAAGATGTCAATTTCCTTTATCATTATGGAAGATTATCTTTGCTGTACAGCTTCAGGGAGTGAAGGATGTATATTTACGAGGAAAATTTCGGTTGAAAATTTGAGGTAAGAAGAGGGAGAGATGTTTAAGAATAAATGAAACGAAACGACATCTCCTCAGTCATCAAAATCACCATGAGCTAATAGTTATGGCAGAAACGATCTTTATCATTTCTACACAGTCTGAGCTGAAATTCATTTAATTTCATGACAGTCACGCTTTTCCCAGCTCAATCAGTTCAAAAAAGAAAAAACGGATGTTTTGAATCCCTATAGAGTTAAACGAAAGATTCCTTTCTTTTCGCTTATAGGCTCGGCCGTATTCACGAGGATCCTATTTACCATCAGTCTGCCATTTGCGCTCTTGCTACAATTCCTAATCCACTTTGGAATAATCACCAAAAGGAAAAATAAAAAAGATGAACAGGAGGAAGGCTGACTACAAATATTAGTGGGAGATAGGTACCATCTTCTATTCTGTTTATCATAATAACACGCAGGTGTTTTTTCTTTTTTTTCCTAAATGGTCCATAAATTGATTTGATTTGTGAAACTCGTGAAAAATTGAGGTAATTTGAATAGTTCTTTTTTTTTTGTATTTTAGTCCATTAAAGTTTACCCAAAAGATCGAGAGGGAGAGGGGCGAAAGAGTGAGAGAAAGGGAAAGAAAGGTTTTTCTTTCCAATAATGACTGTTGCTTTACATATTAAGGTAAGACCCAGTCTCTCATATCAAATTAGAAAAAAAAACTAATTCTGTATAATGAATGAATTTGTTCCAATGATGTTATAACTAATTTTGTTCACTTTGTTGAATTTGATAAGCACTAGGATGGAACGTACGTATAACATTTAGAGGCAGTAACGAGAGTAGTGAAACTGGGGAGACAAGGAGTATCTTGAAATGTGAAGTATTATCATCGCACTCTATTTTCATCGGGTATCGTATTTATCTATTTACATCAATTTTATAAAGCGTTGGAAACCTGTAATCCATATATTTTGACAGTAAAATTAAAAAAACACCAGATATCCTTCGTCTTTCATCTCGAAAACCAAACTAATTCTATTATTTGCAAACAGTGAGAAATAGAATATTTATTGGAAATGCTGTAACTGCATAAAATACGTTTAGACGTAAATAATTAAACGTGTTTGCTAAAGAAGGTCGAGGACGAACGTGGTTCAGCAACGTCGGCATTTTATTGTTATACATGGGACTTTTCTTTTCAAATTTTCAGAAAGATACACATCGGCAAAAACTATTAAATGGAGTTCTTTTTGATTTGTTTCTGTTCTAAGGTATATAATTATTTGTCAAGAAACCTTGCCGTTAAATTGCAAACAAGTTACCAATGGTGAAAAAAAAAAAATGCGAAAGAGAAAATTTCCCCTTCTAATTCAGGATTTAAAGAAAATATGCCATTCTTGAAGATAAGAACAAGGAAGCGAAGAGGGCAGGAGGAAACGTTATAGGACGGAAGGAATGACTTTTGTGGCGTGTAAAGTTTGTTATTCTTATTAAAGAGTTGAGGGTAAATATTTTAAGCAGTAAAGTGATCGACTGATTTAATTTTATAAGACTAAAATTTACTTAGTTTGTAGTTCCGGTCAAGTCAAGGAATGGATTGTTAAGTTGGTGAAAAATTTATCTCAAATTTTAACGGATTTTCTATGGGAATAATGGATAGTGAAAGTTCAACATCGGTATAAACAATTAGTTCTTCGCAGTGAATATCTATCCTCATTTCTGGAAGATTAGTATTGACATTAAGACATGAAAGATCCAATCAGCTTCAAAGCAATTCCAAGAAGTAAATTTAAAGCTTTGTAATCCAAAAGCATTCTAAATGCTATTTTCATCGAAATGTTTCTCGTGTTCTGTACGGTATGCTCGAGCAGTAGAATTGAATTTTCAACTTTTAAAGTTTTTGTTCAATTTTCCTTGCTTTTAATATTTATCATGTATCATCACTGAGCGTAAATATCAGTCTAAGGTTTTGTAGCTATTAAGGCGCACATACTGCTGGAATGTTGTCAGTGATAATGTTAGTCAGTTTACTACTGACAAATGCTATTCTATCATTATCAAATGGTTCAAAGAACTCACGAAGTGTTTACAACTTCGAAGTGTTTTCTCACGAAATGTCTGCTGCTGGAATAAATATGTTCACAACTCTTTAATTATTGTTTATATTTATAGTGAAGTAGGATTCTGAAGCCTATCCAAAAACGGTCGTTTATATTCCGGAATCGTGTAAGAGTTCATTGTCCGAGAGTTCCAATATTGTAGAAGTTCTAATATGAGAGTTCCAATATTGTACAAGTTCTAATACAAAAAGTTCCAATATTCCAATATTGTGCGAGAGTTATTACATAGTGTGCAGTAATTTTCGTATATAAAATCGCTTAGGGATGAAAATTAGAAATGTTTGGATTTTAGACAGTTGAAATTCACACAGTTCCATAGATATTTTGTAAAGCAAAGGTGTCAAATAGCACAACTGCTGGAATATTGTATGTTTCTGCTGCTGAAAATGTCTGGCTTAGGACATTCAACTACTTTATCTTGATGGTAGACAGTGTCACGTGGTCGTTTCGATCACAGTTGATAATAAAGGAGTGCTGTCAGCTAACTCTGACTCATAAAATCACGTCATCCATGTGTAAATTTTGCAAATTAAGTGGGGTACTTTATCAGTGAATACTTTTCCACTATTCGTCAACATAACAGGCCAAATAATCGTTCCTTATAGATGGAGGACATTGAAACTGTTATAAGTTTAAAATGTTGTTGGGAATAAATGCAAAGATTGTTCATCACTATGCCCGATTGATTTTCCGGCTAAATAATGGTTCACTTTCCGCAAAATTTCGACCCGGTACTGAGATGGAAGTAGCATTCGATCCGGCCGTCGATCATAAAGGCTCACAGACAACAATAGCTCTATGTTTCTGTGCGTATATGCGATCGCTTTTTCTGAGGCAGTTTTACAACGTGTATGTGTATACCATAAACCATTTATAAATTTGTACACAAAGACACACACACACGCAAATGCACATGCACACGCACATGCACACGCACATGCACATGCACACGCACATACACATACACATACACATACATACACTTGTATTTCATTTTCCAACAATTTTTACTACATTGATGCAAACTTTTCGCTTTTAGAATCTAATCTTTATTTAATCCAAGTTGCCATACATCTAATTGGGTTTGGTTATTTCCCGTATTGCATTCACAATAGTTTTAAGAAGGCTTCATTTACTACTAAAAATTAGGTAATGATTGATAATAAATAGTTTAGAAGTAGACACTAAGCATAAAAAGTTGAAATATCTTTCGTCTTCAGTGCTTACATAAGCTGTTTAGCAAAAAGCATAGCATTGAATTATTTGGCTTAAATACTTGATTGAAACGCCGTTTATTTTTTCCCTTCTTGTTCTCTCTCATTTAAGGAAACGAAAAGAAACTTGACGAAATGCGTAGATATGGTCATTCTCTAATTTTTTATGTCAACTTCCAGTCTTCAAAATATTCATGCATCTAAATTTCATGATGTAGAAAATTTCCGAAATTGATTTGGATTTTCTTTTTTTTTTTTTGCTACGGTTTCCTCGAGGACGGTGCAAGTCATTTGCAAGTGGCGACGCTAATATTGATGCTTAAGTTACCTTTATTTTTTCATGGAAATGATGATAGAAATACACAAAGCCAAACATCTTTTTGCTATTCAATGAGTTATACTTAAATAGAATGGATGATCTTCTAGTACTGAATGTCTTCCAGTCATTTTCGAGGGGAGTAATTTGTATTCCAATAAACTGGACTTGCTACATTCATGTTGTCCGAGGCAAAATGAAAATATTTCATCCGAATTATGGATTAAATATGTCAGGGGGGAACAGTAATAATGTAGGAGCTCTTCGTACGTTTATTGATGGTAAAACAAATTACGAAATATCTATTCGGTTTCTGGTTTCTAGACATACTTGACCTCTCTCCTTCTTTATAACTGCTATTTCCATAGATGTTGCTAATCATCATCTAGCATATGTTTTCTCATAAATTACAAAATTTCTTTTCCTTCTCTTTTCAGTTTATTTTGGATTGAAATGCGACAAAGTTTTGAGTTTGCTAGAGAATCTGTTACTCTATCATGAGCAGTAATAAGATCCAAAATATGGTATCATGAATTCCCTTCATGTTTATTTACAGTACCATATTGTTCCTAACATTCATGAGTTTGATTTCTTTTTTTTCCCAAATACTACGTAAAAAAATCACGTTATTCTGTAAAAATGGTTTACTGAAAATGCCATATGAGACACAATTTGTTAGCCCACAACATTTTCCATTTGAAGATAGTTAACATCATGTCACTTGTCGTATTTGATAAGGAGAATCAGCTAAAAGGACGAATTGATGGTCTGTAACTAACATTAATTAGATGAAAAAGGGAAAATTTTAATTTTTAAGTAGTATGATTTTGCAAGAAAGATAGCAAAACGAGAGTACTTTTTTTTATAAATATGCTTAAAGTAGTGGGTAGATGTTATGTTGCCTAGGAAAGGAAGAGGAATTCTGAATTCCAAAGATGAGATCCTTATGTGATGACTCGTCTTTGCATTCAATCATTATAGCATACTGTATCACATCATCATTTGTTCAGGATCATAACCATCCTTCACTTTTCTCAATAAATGTTTGATGTTCTGTACTTTTTGGCTTTCTACTTTCAATCATCATCATCATCATCACCGCAATAATCGACAGTGATGACTAGTTTTGCTTCCCGTTTTATAGCCCATATGATTTTCAATCCATTGTGGCTACTTTTTTTAATAAAAAAATTTCAATTTTCTGAACTACCTTATCACTCTATCGAAAACGAACGATTGGCTATTACGTGGTCCTCACGTGTCATTATTGTTTCATGTTTGTATACACTGCTGTATTTACTCTCTGTATCTAAACACTGGCTGGTTAAGGTACTTAGCAGAGAGGTCAATTATTAAAAACCATGTTTAATTGATTTAACACAATATAATCAAATGAATCAATACAATCCCCTCGAGTCATCATTTTTGGACCTTTTCCAAATATAGCAATATGTAAACTAATTAACTGGTATTTTTCATTAAGCAGACTTTGGCATCATTTTTCCCTAGATCATAGAGAGCAAGAAATAGTTGATTGATTAAGATTTGATTAATAGTTAATTATGTTTTGTAATGATTGGTTGAAGTTTAGAAGAAAGCAATTTACTATTTACAGCGATAGCTTGGAAGGGTTAGTTTCTCCGGTTTCAATAATTTTTACCAGACATTGGTTAATTGATACTGCCATATGCATTTGTTCGAAGAGTTTTAATTAATAACTGAAAAACAATTAATTATTTTTATTAAACAAATGAAATTTCTATCAGAAATCGGATAAAGATTACTGACTATTGTTGATAGCTTACCACCTGCAATTTCTGTAGCTTTTCTATCACAGAATGATTTGATAGCACGAATACCATGACTCCTGTAAGGCAAAGTCAATAGTATATGGTTTGTAACCGACATGCAGTCCTATTACTATGGTCGACTGAGGATATTTCTTGATTTATCAGGGCAGTCAAAAATCCGAAATCACAATGATCCTACAGATGTGTTGATGCGTTTCTGTATTCGATTCTTTCTATTTCGATTTGTTCGTAAAAAGGATACAGAAAAATACAGAAACGAATACAGAAACGCATTCAATTCCTTCTTTTTTTCAACATGAATATAATTTTTTTCAAGTTCAGAAAAATTGTCGTCTCTAAAATTTGGCCTTCAGGAAGAAGTATTGAAGTGAGAGGGAGGAGGACTATTGACCAGGAAAAAGTTACAAAATAATTTTTCAGATTGAACATGAGGAAAACCACTGCAGATAAATTTGCAGAAGCGATGATTGAGTGTTCACATTTCAAATGTTAAGGTTTTTATTTTTTGAAAGTTAACCTTTTAATTAGTAGTAAAAAGATGACCAGTATTTGTATGAGTTTGTCCTTGTGCACTATAAATCTTCTGAGCATGTGCCTATTGTAATTTTGATAATAGCGCTGGTGTAGGACTAGGCTTTAGTTCCTTTTGTCAGCTTGTTAACATCAGGATGGTGTCTAAATTTCTTTCAGGAACATATCTTTTTATCTTGAAATAAAAAGTTTTGAATTACATTGAGTTGCTCAAGAGAATTCTCAGTGTTTCAAAGTAAAACAGTGTTTAAGTTATACCAAACTCATTCATGATTCCCTTTCGCACTTCTGCAGTTTATACTTTCCAACTTTATTTTACAAATATTTGAAAATCAATATGGCTTATACAACTATTTCTCCATTCAAAGTTTCTGAACGGCACGCTGTTATTTTGGCTTTTCTGATGTTTATGGAACATCTTCCTTCACCACTGCTGCTCGTTGGAACGTGATTTTGTTCAATACTTATAAAAGATATTTCTCTTTTTACAAAGTATGTATTAGGTTTTTGAAACCTTTTTCATATGTGCATATATTATTGTTACGAAAGAGTAAATGAGAAGTTGGATAGAGAAATATTCATGATACTGTAATGACATCTCTTCTTCCTTTCGTAACTTCGGATTAATGAGTGATTGATGGAATGGAATGTGAAGTGTTCCAAACGTTTTTATTTGATTCAATTACCAAAATTCTTCGTTTTTTTTTTTTTTTTTTTTCAAGTTTAGTC